TAAAACCTTCTGAGAATAAGTACTTTTATCCACTTAAATCGGTAGACCATACAAGCGGTTGCCAAGCAAGATACGCCCATTTGCCTACTATAACATTATTGGAATGTGGGTGTAAGGATATCAACTGAAGGCAAAAGCCTACAACAATACAATTTGCCATGCCCAAGTAATAAACGGCATGCTGCTGAGTCATAAATTCTCTTGCGCGAGTACCAGATTGCCTGTCATTGATAAATAAATTCATTTTGCTTTTAATACAGGACTGCATGGACATTCAAGTGGAATGGAATTCAAAAGGAAAAATCAGTTTTACGTATGAATTTATTGCAGGCGTGTTCTGTGGTATGTGGAAGCCTAGAACTGCAATAATCTCAAATACACAATTACATAAAATGACTAAATACAAAACATAACGTACATTTATATCAAAGATTGCCACAGGTCGCTAATTGAAAACAATCAAAACATAAACATAATACATGAACATTATATATGATTTAGAAATGAATTACACAGAGTTAGGCATACTACCCTTGATATCAGAGGTATGAATTATGATTTTTGTCTCAAATGAAATTTTGTTATTTTAAGTAGGCTAAATTTCTAGTCAAACCATTTAGTACCCCGGTATCCCAACCTGGTGTAGGAGAATAATTTGTTTCGAATTGAGAAAGCACCTCACATCAACACATGCTGAAAATGTGGATAAAACAAATTGGGTGTGAAGGGTCCAGGTGATTGCTCCATGGTTGTGAAGGTTGGGAACCACTGATGTAGTGGAACTAACTATAAAATGATACCGATAATCAAACTATATATCAACTTACCCTCATACATGGCCGAGAACCAGTCTTAACAGGGCCGAGAGTCATTCCCTCAGAACCATAAGAATTGAGACCCAATCTCTACAGGACCTAGACATAATCATACAGGACTGAGACACAATCCCACAAACTGAGACATCTTACTGGATCGAGACACAATCCTAAAGGACTGAGACACAATCTTAAAGGGCTGAGACACAATCCTAAAGGACTGAGACACAATCCTACAGGTCTGAGGCACAATCCTACAGGTCTGAGACACAATCCTACAGGTCTGAGACACAATCCTACAGGTCTGAGACACAATCCTACAGGACTGAACACAATCCTACAAACTGAGACATTATCCTACTGGACCGAGACACAATCCTACAAGACTGATACACAATCTGCGAGTTAATCCTATCACCCTATCTTTTCAAGATATTAAGAACTCCCGAAATTTTGCACTTTTTGCAGTTGAAATCCTACAGGACTGAGAGTCAAGTTTTCAAATTTCTGACTATTCATCCCATGGGAGTAAAATTGAGAATCATAATGAAATAAAACGACGCTGATACGCCTATGACTATAGTGCATAAATAATCTACATGGCATGTCAAAATACTTATTATGTATAACAGTAACATATTTGTGCTGTAGCGAAACCTTACCTATAGCTGCTTAGCCCTACAGTTGTTTGTTATATTATAGCTTAAACAATAACATTTTGCCAAGTTTGCTATGAGACCAATTCGATGAATAATGAATGAATATTTACAATAAATTTCTAATAATTATATTCTATATAATAATATATTTAAAGTTTAAACTATAAATTTGCAATTCTCAATATCATTCTATTTACAGTAATAATTTCGGGAGATGCATAGAATATTCTCACCTGAAGAAAACCTCATTTATAAATCAAAATTTGAGGTAATTAACAATAACTAATGTGATAAATCCAATAATAAATATATATACACATGATGAAAGATAAAATTATAAATTTACATTAATAATAATTTGTTACTACTTTTAAATCTGTTTTTCTAATAATCTAGCAAAATACATCACTGTACTAAAGATTTCCAACAAATGACATTCTCTTTAGATCTTCAATCAAAATATTCTGGTGCAAATACGTGAGTGGAGATAGTAACAGAAAATGGAATGATCATCCGGTTCAACATTACTTATCAATCTCTCTTGATTCCATTACCCTTACCGACTTGTAGTAGTAATTATCAGTGTTATTACAAGAGTATAATATAACAATTACTATTACCAACGTGAACAAATGCATTTACTTTAAATGTGAAGGAATACCAATCAGATTTGCAATCCGTGCCCTTAATATGACAAATAGTCTGATGAGTATCAGCCCAAAGACCACTATAGCCTACATGTTGCTATGACCTAGATGCTATATCAACGGTTATAGAAATAACTACAGAAAGCTACATTCTGTTCCCATACCAAAGAATGTTATTTGAATTTTATAACAGAACAAATCAGACTAAACTTGTCCCATGGTAAATAACATGATCATTATACAAAGAGGAGAGATAACCAGTTTAGCTGACGAATTACAAAGATCCCCAGTACATTCACAATATTCCACTCTATATCTTTTAGTACCAATTTTCGATCTGCAATCATCTGTTTGATCAGTGTGCACTGCACATTGTCTTATCACTCTCGTCTCTTCTGCAACTGAAATTGGAACAGAGGTTTAACATTAAAATACCTTGTTTCTATCTGGTTCGATATGGATGTTCGATATGGATGAAAATTTTATGGCGTCAAATTTTTGTGTCTGATGAATTTGAGTTGGGTTTTATGAAGAGGTAATTTGTGACATTCAGTTAAATAGAATCCCAGATAGAGTAGTATCGGTATCAAATGACAATATTGAATTGTTTTCTAAAATATCTGTAGGTCAAGGTTTTGAATTAATTATAGGTTGGTTATCTGCATGGTTTCTTTCTGTCAGTGACGCTAGTTAGAAAAATGAAATGAAATGAATGGAGTTTTAAACGCTAATTAGGAGGGAGGCATATACATGATATTGAAACAACTTGCGCACTGCATGACGATTCTTGTCCCAGATGATGTTATAAAACTCCAGTTCGTTTATTTCAATAATCCTGTCTTTATACTTACATGATTGAACCATCGTTCTACATTTAGTATAATTGAAGTTTCCAGGTAATTGAGAACAATTGATTTTATATAAATATTGAACATTTTCTGGTAATTTTCTGCAGTCATCGCGATGGTGATAGGTATTGCAGGTATAACAACTTATGCCTAATCCTGTAATATACAAAACACATACTTATATTAGTTTTAAAATCAATTTAGGGATTGCATGTATAACAACTTATGCCTAATCCCATAACACATACTAATAGGTCTATCAGTTTCCTAATTGGTAAAAGGATACCCTAGATTACATATATTTCTATTTCAGATATTTTCTATGTAGCCATAACAAGACTTGAAACCATGATGTATGTCTGGCTCCCACAGAACAACACAAATCTTCGCCATATAAATAATTGCTACATATAGTGTCAACTGATGCCATGTAAAGGATGTCCATTTATCACACTGCCTCGAAGGGGAAGGACACTGTCTAATGATCTGAAGTACTGATACAATCTGTTCAACAATAAATGTAGCTTGCAGCAATGCCAGGTTAAAAGTTCACCATTAATTACACTTACTAATCTGTTTTCTAGTCCTCATTCTTAAACTAAATCAAGTGTATAAGTGAATTGTTCAGCACTCTGTATCGTTTATCGATTGTTCAGTGGTTTTAATAGTGAAATTACAAGATACACATTATACAGCTCTGTAAGTGTTGGAATTATCACATCTTCACAATGGTCAAGGTATTGCGGACTTCGTCTTATACCTTGACTGCGTTAGCCACCATTCTTGTATCATGGAATGCAACCATTTGATTGTGAACATTATGGCTTATTGTTTACAGACTTTCTGTCTGGGACTGATACAAGAAACGTGAATATTGGAGTCAAGGTATAAGACGAAATTCGTAATAGCTGAAGAAGGGGTTATCAATGATTGCACTTGTAGTATTCCTTTGTGTTCATGAATATGATTGATATATTCAATAGTTTAATCAAAATTTCTTAACCCTCAATATCATGATTAAATCAGCAGTACCAGTTTATACTTTACTATCGGAATATTAGGCTCAACTGCCCCAGTACCGATATAAGTGATTTGAATTTGAATATCCAAAGAACAATGAAGATAAAATGAACACAAATCATTATTATACGAGGTTTATGATGGAGGATATGTTATTTTCTGTGTCAATAGGTAACAAATTTGACATAACGAGAATTGAGAACTATGTAATAAAGAACACTTGTGATATATCATGCAAATATTTCTAACACCCAAACAAAAGCTGATAATAGATTAAATGTTCTGCAGTGTTCTGTAATAAGTAATATAATAAATCATCTAAAATTCGAACTTAAATTAGGTATTTCCTTTTTTTATGACAGGATGGCGGTGTTTAGTAAAATAACATTACCTTTCAATATAGCTAATATAGACTAACAACAGTCTATATTGATTTACATCCTAAATCAACTGTATTTTATCAACCATATAATCTATAGTAAAGATTATTGATTATAACGTAGGCTCTACAAATCAATATTAAACAAAAATAGTTAGTTGAAGTTGCGTGATTATGTCGTATTATTTATTCATGTATGTACTTATCAGAGCCAAAGACTTACATTATATCATTGTATTTCATACGCAGCTTCAATTCAGACGATCTCTTGAATGAAGATCAAGGCAAATGCTATCTAATGGTATTCGATGTTGAAAGCCCGATTTAGATCTAAGAAGCAATTGTGTATATTTTCTCACAGGTCATAAATTCGAGAAGTCATACTGTACATTAAATATATTGGCAATATTGTATTGATTTTGATTTAAGAAATTGTTAGATGGAATTCGACTATGGTTTATTAAAAGTTAAATTATGGTGATTTACTTAGGAATTTACTTTTTACATTGGCGTGGTGTTGTCAAAACTTATCAATTATGTTTCAGTACTAAAACGTCTCCTGTTATGTTTTTAAGACAAACAAAATAAAGTGCATTTCAAAACGAATGGCATAATTATAAACAAATGGTTTAATGAATATTATTTGGGTTTATATTACGTTCGGTGTAAGTTATCTTAATAAAGCACGGGATAGAGAATATACAATCTGTAAGAATAGAAAGATATCATTGGACTCTATCTGTAAGAATAGAAAGATATCATTGGACTCTATCTGTAAGAATAGAAAGATATCATTGGACTCTATTTGTAAGAATAGAAAGATATCATTGAACTCTATCTGTAAGAATAGAAAGATATCATTGAACTCTATCTGTAAGAATAGAAAGATATCACTGGACTCTATCTGTAAGAATAGAAAGATACCATTGCACCCTACCTGTAAGAATAGAAAGATATCATTGAAATCTATCTGTAAGAATAGAAATATATTATTGAACTCTATCTGTAAGAATAGAAAGATATCACTGGACTCTATCTATAAGAATAGAAAGATATCATTGGACCCTATCTGTAAGAATAGAAAGATATATTGCACTCTATCTGTTAGAATAGAAAGATATCATTGCACTCTATCTGTAAGAATAGAAAGATATTATTAGACTCTATCTGTAAGAATAGAAAGATATCATTGAACTCTATCTGTAAGAATAGAAATATATCATTGCACTCTATCTGTAAGAATAGAAATATATCACTGGACTCTATCTGTAAGAATAGAAAGATATCATTGAACTCTATCTGTACGAATAGAAATATATCACTGGACTCTATCTGTAAGAATAGAAAGATATCATTGGACTCTATCTGTAAGAATTGAAAGATATTATTAGACTCTATCTGTAAGAATAGAAAGATATCATTGAACTCTATCTGTAAGAATAGAAAGATATCATTGGACTCTATATGTTAGAATAGAAAGATATCATTGGACTCTTTCTATAAGAATAGACAGATATCACTGGTCTCTATCTGTAAGAATAGAAAGATATCACTGGACTCTATCTGTAAGAATAGAAAGATATTATTGGACTCTATCTGTAAGAATAGAAAGATATCATTGAACTCTATCTGTAAGAATAGAAAGATATCACTGGACTCTATCTGTAAGGATAGAAAGATATATTTGGTAGCAATGTGATACTTAAGGGCGTAAAATTGTTTTCGTGATTATATTTTGGAACACGTTTTATTCTTCCGGCACATGTTTTGGATATAAAATTTTCACCAGGACAATTGATTTTGAACATGGGGTTCAGGTTCCAATAAAGAACAACGTGGCAGCTACATTCATGTGATCTTTATTTTAGAGAGATTGTAGCCTCAGTGGTGCCTGCAACTCTGTTTATGTGCAATGAAGTAAATTACTGTTTACATAAAGAACACTTCGGTTTATCAACACGCATTAGTGAAATTAGTATTGAAAGTAATAAAACGTGAGTTTCAACATGTTTACAATAAATTAATGAGCTTTGAGATTATGTTCCATTCTTTTGTTTACATTAATAACCAAATATAGCCGATGATATCATTATACAGATGGTGTTTTCCATCATGTAATTGCTTTATATTTCAAGAGAATAGAGTATATAACTTTTCATCTATCAACAGGTTCTTACTACTGAAATAATATAGTACATTTTGTTATCGAGAAAACTAGCTGTACAATACTGATAAATATAGAGCAATGAACGGTGAACAATGTAAGATAAACAAAGCTAAGCCCAGGAACAGATCGAGGAACATCAATGACAGACAGACAGATAGGAACTACAGAGAAACATCTACTCTATCATTTATTTGTTTAAAAATAATTAGAGGATATTTTGAAGCGTTAGATCAAAAGACTAACTTGAATCAGGTAAAAAAAAACATTATCTATTACTTCAATGAGTATCGAAATATTTGCGCCAGTTTCGATGAGATTTTATCTCACTCAAGATTCATTTCCATGCCATCAATTCGTTAAAGTGCTCATAGTACGTGACTATAAGAGTCTCCTAAACATACAGTTCACAAAATCGAATTTTGGGTCTGACTAGAGTTCGGTAATTCCGAACGTTAGCATAAAATGTTTGAATTACTCCCACTATTTTCATCTACTTTCATTGATCTGGAAATAAATTGCTATTTGATTTATACTTAGTTTGTCTGGTCGGCTCATGATAGTAATATATCATCATAGAGACTTTTAACATCATTCTAGAAACCTCGAGACTTGTTAATATTATCACTCAGATTTCAATCTAACCATTATGTAATATTACTGGGGCCGGGCAGTTTGATCAAATAACTTAATATTAAAAATATGAATCTAAATCAATTTATTACCGCGACAACTGAGGAGAAAGTAGAACTAAAGAAAGTGACAGAAATGCCAATCAAACTGGTTTGAAGTTGAGTATAAAAAGATCACCCGTCAATTACATTATTTTGAATTATATTAGTAATACCAGGAATTGCCCTACATTCAGTTTATGGTATGCGAAGGTATGAATGCTTCAATACGTTTTTAAGACTGGATTTCAAATATTTATTTGAAAGTACTATTCACACTGTTGTGAAAATATCTTTTTTCATACATCCTGTTCGATCTGTATAGATGTTATCAGTTCGAGCAGCATGACGAAACAATTCAAAAATACCATTTCTGCTTTTAAATTTTAAACTTAAAATGTGTTCTACATTCTGGTATAAACAATAGTTATCTCTTTAACACCCACACACGTTACATTTTCCAGATATAAACAGTTTGTGTTATTGGGTTAAAAATTCTTACAAAATTTGTACATTTACATTGGTCTAATAGTACGCAAAATTTGTGGCATGTTCCTGTTGCAATGTCACTGTGTACGTGTATCAGATTTGACTTTCTGTTAACTTACTTCCATTATATTCTTTCAGCCTGAAAGAACCAAAAAGGGTGAAGTTGTCCTGTATGTATTAAACCATAAATTCTATGCGTGCGTGTTCGCTATGTTTCTATTAGCTGATAATGATATTGTACATTTTAAGAATCAGATGAAAAAAATGAATTATCGTATATAGAAATAGATGGTTGTTTGAACTCCCCAGATACTCCGGTGAATATTGTTACAATATCCATTAGCTATGAATAATAAATTACATATAAAAACATCCCGAAGGAAAAATATGTTATGAATTTCGACAATAATTGCGACATTTTTGCAAACTAAAACATTCATAATCTTGTTGGAGTTACAGGAAATTCTAATTTTTGTTTCACTAAGAACTATTCTAATAAACTATCACGTCATACCCTTGATAAAGATGAAATATAGACCAACAAAAATAGCAGGTATGGCTCGTTAGGAATAAAGAGGTATACTCTTAAAGGTATTGTAACAATTTCTCAGAATTAATTACATGCGAAAATTATACTATATTGTGAATTCTTCAAGATGTTGAGATAAAACAGTTGATTATTAAGGCTTTATATCTGATTTGAAAGCATTCTTTAGGATGTTAAATGACATACAAGGCTCGTCAACCAAAGGGGGAACGCGTACTGAGACTAATAAACTGAGACACTCTCTTTATTATTTTGGAATTGGTGGTGAAAGAAAAGTCATTCAAACTAACTAGAAGAATGAAAGTAAACATCTGTTCAGAAATCAATAACTGCTCCTTTTCACTGTGTCTCAATTTCTTATATTCTACTCCCTCTTCTTAATTAACATGATTAATTTTCCCATAAATAAACTGATAGTAATATGAATTAATCAGTAATCAGATACTTCGCAATACTAACAATTCCAACAGCCTTCTGCCACAAGTCTATAGACATCATGATAGTCTTGTGAAAGTGGTGGAAAATAGATTATTTGACCGCTAGACCTAATATTTGATTAGAATGTGAACTCAGTCACTTTTATTCTATAATTCTCTGGTTAATCAATAATGGAACCTTCGGCATCCATTCCACCATGTCCTTGAGAATTTAAGTCCATGTTGTTTTATTTTTCATTAATATCGGGTCTGAAATCTGAAACAATCTCCTTAATCTCAGCTTGCCACGACCTGTATTTCAACAGGGTCAATCGAGGGATCCACTTTATGCAATGGATCTTTTAGCTAAAAGTAAGTAAGACGGATTGTATTTTTAATGCTATCAAGTAATATAATATTGAGCTGGTTAATCTGACATGACATGGAACTACAATTTAAATCTTATCTTCCAACCTAATCAGTTACAGTGAATCTATTTCTGGTTTAATATAATTAGTTGATGTAACTGCATGCACCAGAGCCTTATCATTCCTGTTTATCGTTCATAAATCAATATATATTGATATTATTTCATATTAATCTAAACCTAACTTACCTTTTTCAACAAATAGACACAGAGTAAGGAATAACACAGAAAGAGTCGTTAGATAATTCGTTGCATCCATCTTAGATTGGTAAAAATGTCAAAGTATGAAACATCCGGGTATTGTAATAAAGAATGGATGAAATCAGGTGTTGATATAGAATTATTAACACAATCCGAGTGATAAACATATACACTATATTCTACTAAAAAACAGAACACATTCCTCTTTCCTCGTTCCTCTTTATTCCCAAACCACCATATTATATTCAGCTTAAACTCGGTGGTTATTTTTACATCTCGTCAATCTCACAAGATGACGACTTCGCGTGCCAACAGTATTTCAAAAGAAGCGATTGCTGGTAGTTAACAGGAACCTATATTATTTGTACAACCTCTATACACGCGACATTAATAGATAACTAAGCAACCCATCTTGGCTCTTATGCATATTTAATATGAGGACCTGATATTCAAAATTAAAATCTTGGTATTTTATGTAAAGTTTATGTTGAAACCAGAAATAACCTACATCAATATCTTTGTTGGATGAAATGTCTGAGGATGATATCTACTTCACACTTAAAATGCCAAAAAGATAGTAAACGTTAAGTGAACATGTACTAAATAACATCAACTGTGACATTTTCTTAATTAACTTTTAACAATTAAAAACTGATATAGACAGTGTTGTTGTTATTCGTCGATTATTTTTCTTTCTGTTGTTCTTTTTTTTTGGTTGAATCTTTCCTTCTGAAGCAGTATATAATCCTGACATTCTCCTGATTATTTGTTTTTGTGGATGATGACATTTATAACGTTTTCAAAGCCTGGCGACCACTCTGTACAGAAAAGTGGGTAAATATAAATCACTGTGAATACGAAGCGACGACATTCCCCTTCCCCTAAATGCTACTAAAAGGATAATGATATAGAAATATCAATGTGGACGAACTTACATAAAGTAAATAGCACGAGGGTCTGTTATCGTTTACCTGTTAAATTGTTTAGAGTCTTCTATAAGTGGACATTGACCAGACGTGCGTGTGTTCAGTGAACCCTTATACTAACACTGTATTTCAACCAAAAGGTGACTATGAACTCCCCGCTATCGTTAATTTTACTGGGTGGGTCATGGCTTTTGGACGTGTTTGACAGGCATAATACAGGGGGTAATTTGACTGGTATTGGCCATTCTGCACTCTCTAAAATATGTCAAAGAAAACAAACTTTGTTTCATGTGGTACCGATAATGTTTCATCTCACCAAAAATTTGGGGCCTTTGGAGTGTCTGACATGAAAACTTTCTCGTCCATACACATACGAAACTTCGCATCTTGCCTAGCTCCGTATAGTCGCAGATCTATCTCCGATAGGTAGAATTTCTCTGTTGATCAGGATGGTCCATACAGTGTTATGTATGAATTATCTTGCAATAAACTGCATGTGGAAATGTAGGTAATTATGTCAAAGGAAATTTGGTCACC